CACTTTATGACCCCTTGACGCTTGCCAACGAGGAACTCGAGGTGGTTGATCATTTCACTTATCTTGGCAGCTGCATCAGCAACGATGGGCGCATAGAAACTGACGTCAGCCCACGCATTGCAAAGGCCCTAGCTGCCTTCTTGAACCTGTGGCATCTTTGGCGACAGAAGGGAGTTTCCCTTCGTCTGAAAGGTCGGGTATACAAGGCCACAGTGAGAGCCGTTCTGCTCTATGGTAGTGAGACTTGGCCCCTTGGGTCTGAAGATCTGAGGCGCCTTCAATTCTTTGATCATCGTTGTTTGCGAAGCATTGCTGGTGTCGGATGGCACCAGCGTGTCCGCAACGATGATGTGCGTAGGCGAGTATTAGGTAATGATAAACATGCTAGCTCCTTAGAACAACAGATAGCAATGGATAAGTTGCGTTGGGTCGGACACGTGCTACGTATGCCTGGTCACCGCTTACCTAGGAGGGTCTTGTTTAGTCTGCCAGGTGTTGGGTGGCGCAAGGCTCGAGGTGGACAGAAGTTGACTTGGCAGCGGGAAATGAAGTCACTGACGACCAAACTGGGTGCCGTTGGTCCGTCTCGTCTTTCGGGCTGGAGTCCACGTGACTCACCTTGTGCTTGGCTCGAGACTTTACAGGACATGGCTCGCAATCGACATCAGTGGCGCGTCTGCTGCCGTCTCCTAATCGGTTTGCCTGTTTAAAGTGTGTTTGGTGCTGAGTTATCTGCGGGATAATGGCTGATTATGACGCGTGGCAGTGAAAGCCGCAAGGAAGCTGTCTCGCCGATGCCGCCTTATTTTTGCACGATAGCCAGCTGTTTGTGACGGTATGTTGTCTACACAAGGTGTAGGCGCCTTGACCCTGAATGTTTGTTTAGTTCGTTAAGGTTTTCAGGTAAGTCCCCCTTCTCTCCCTCTTATTATTCTTTATTTCATAGGTCCTCATGGTAGTATGGCAGCGAAGCATCAGTTCAAATGGCTGATGTACTGCTGTTGATGATGATGATGTTGATTAAAGAGCCCAAACCAAATTTGCCGCTTGCTGCTGGAACTATATCACAGCATCAGCCTGACAAGTCTCGGTTAAAGCTGTCTATACAGTATAGCCAACTGGAACCCCTTCGAAATTTATTCCGTTTTTAAGCGTGGAACGCTCTCCCAAGTCATGTTGTTTCTTCCCCCAACATAACGATATTTTAAAAATGACTTGGGCAAGCATTGTCCCATTCGCAATTCATTTTCTAAGTTGTGTTAGCTAGGAGTCTACATAACGCAGCCAAACGGCGTGTTTCCATGCTTTCAACCAGGTGGCTTTTATACTTGCCATCATGGGAACAACAGCTGTTTTACGCATGTCTCAATGCGAACACCAGAGTGAGCCCATCAAAACGCTTTCAATAAGATTTCCTTTAACAATTTTCACATCCTACAGAACTTGTTAATCATAGCTTTTTTGCCCATCGTTCCATATCATTGCAGCTGTCATCTAAGCTGGGAAGCATACAATGAAAATTAGTGATACGGATCTGGAGGGGAGTAAGAGAAACATGTTTTCGCTTACCCACCCTGCTGTGTGTAAAGGATAAGACGACTCTTGATGTGTTGCGCGACGGCCGTTGCAGGATGCGGTTGAATTTTTTAGGGAATAGTCATGATTGTACATGGGCTGAACTATTGTCAGGCGACAAAACCTAGACAGGGTAGTCGGCTAAAGTTTGTCTCAAATGGCTATCCACAAGATAGTGGGGAGTGGCAGAGATCCGACTTTGCAGCAATGGATACCGTCCTGTTTCCACCCCGCAGCCTGGGTGACCAAGAGACTGAGTTTATGCTTCACAAACATATGTTCTGTAGTTATCATTGGGAAATCAAAACTTGAAGACATTTAAGACTACTGCCCATAGCGCATATCACCGCTTGTTCTAAAAGGGCGAACAGATTATTTCCCAATACCCTTAGCCGCTATTCTCACTCGATATTTACAAGTGACACTATCACACATTTGCAGATCTCTAAGGATTATGCCTGTTCTCAAGAAGCAATTCCGAAGGCACCGTCCAATTGCATGTACGCTAGTGGTGTTGAAGGTCTTTAAAAACTCTTGGTCACTCAAATTTTCACTCAGCCATGCAGATGATGTCTAGCAGTTCGTTTATATGCGTGGTCGTTCCACACTAGATGCCGCATCACACCTCGTGCATTCCTTAGCATTTCCACGGAATGAAAAGTGCAATGCAGTGTGGCTTCCGTTTTGATGCTTTCTAGAGTATTGGTAGACCAATCCTACGCAATCAACTGCTTGCGAATGGTGCTCAAACCAGTGTTTACAGCGTACTTAGAGGCTATTGCACAAACTAAACCCACTTCACCCAGTAAAACGGAGCAAAGTCCTCTACTCTTTGTCGCGGTCCTAGTGCTCTACAAAGAGTGATCTTCCTTCTCTGTCTTCTTTATACGTCGAAAAACTGATACCATTAAACGTGTTTACATACAAATATGCTGCTCCTTTAACTGTTGAAATATTCACTTTTCAATGATGTCTGGATGAGCTTATGCTATGGCAGTCATCTCGGTCCCACATTCACAGAATTTTCAAACGTTGTCATGTAATGCACTCTTTTCTTCTTACTAATAAGCTACGGGCTTTCTTGAGCGCCACTCCCTCCATTGACACTGAGTGACCAACTCATATCGAGATCGTCGAATGTCAAATATCAGAGTATTTTTATTTATTTATTTATTGTTCTTTGATTTTCCTCGGGTTAATTGAAAAGGATTACACATTGTAAAATGTATATGTAGTTACGCTGGATTATCTAGAAAGACTGTTGCTAATTTTATCAGCTATCACTGACTCTTGTGCTGGTTTTTCTTCTGGAGTTCTTACTGATGCTTTCCACCGAACCACAAGGTGCTCCATCCGAAATACAGTCTGTTTCTACTACGTGCTCTAGATGTATGGTCACAATTTTTCCTACTGCATCTTACTATACCTATCACACTTGTTGATTCAAAAAGTCACCCGTATAATGCACAATTGTTTGCTAGAATGATGCGTAAACATTTTGGTCGGACACTGTTTGTCTCGTATAGAGACAGTGATAGTGTAAAATGCTGAAAATATACTTACCCGGGTGCATAAATCGCACTTAGATTTGATTTGACTTGATATATAACTGGTTTACGAGGCGAACTCATAATGGTGTATCAGATCCTAAAGACCCAAACCCCACTTGCGACTATCTTTTGAAACTCAAACGAAACACATCTCTGATGGACCTTCAGTTCAAGCTGGCCACGTAGTAAAACCGATTGAAATGTCGCCCGCTTTTTTCTTCCTCCGAGTGTAACGGTTTTGAAGCTCTCCCAGCGCACGCAATTAGTGCAATCACTTCATCACAGTTCAAAAGTCAACTTGACGATACACTAACACTGGAGCCCGTGTTTATAGTTTAACGGCATTAGCGCAGAACAGACGGTGAACTTATCGTAACCCTCCTCAGACTGTAGACAGAAATACTTACATCTGTGCTACTGCAAGCCTCTTGGTGATAGTTTGGCAACATGCGTCTTATTTCTTCCATATCGTTTTTTTCATTCTGTAACTTTCACACTGTTCATCTTTCTGGGTTTAAATAGTATTTGCTTTTCTACTTATTGCCAACCGTTGCTCCAATTACTCAACTAAAGCCACTGATACAGTCATGTTAAAAAAAACTTGTTTTCCTTTGGCTATCTCAGAATATCGCTGTGCCATTCGATGCCGAAGTTTCATTAAAGTTTATTAACAACAATCAGAGACAGGGTGTCTTTTCTTTGTTCCAGTGTGTGCTCCCACCGAATGCAGCTCGGAGGCGACCCTCTTCCTTAGCTTAAATAGCCAGCTTGTGATCGCTCAATACTTGTCTCACTGAAAATGATGACCGCTTTCATTTGTTTGCTGACCATAACAGACAAGGCTCTCTGTCATAATCGCTCACGTCGACATACTTGACGGCCACTTTACTTAATGCAATCGCAACCAGCTATTGATGGCACAAATCACTCCAATACCTGGTGTACTTACCTCGATTCTGACCATAACATGCATTCCGACCTTACATTCACACTTCCTGAATCGGCCGGGAAGTCAACTACTAAAGTTCTCGCTCGCGGTAAAGCGATGTAACTCGGTATTTCAGCACCGTTTGTAACTGATTATTGAAATGGGCGAGCTGAATGCTGAAAAGAATCGCTTCCAATGGGGGATGCAGAAATCTGTTCAGGCTGCTTGTCCACCAGAGTTGTAGAATATGAGTAGTGGATGGGTTTCTGCAGCTTCATTTGCATGCTTTAGACAAGCAACGATGTTCCGTCTGGCTATTTGTCTCAAGACGTCCGTAACGTGCTGACACGCCTTCTCAGAAGTAACCACAGCCATTTGTAGATGAGGAGCGTCTACCAGATGGAGAGAATCAACGCCATTGAGAACGCAAAGCATAGCTCCAACTTATTCAAAGCACTGATACAATAAACGCTTCGGTGATTGAATCAGTGGCTGAAAATATGGACAACTGGTTTGCTCGGTAACGTCAAATAGAACGCCTGACATAACCTTTTGAAACACAACTCATCCCTCTCGGCTTATTAGGGTTGTTACTTTGGTCAACTAAGTCTATCCATAACGTTTATGTAACGACTTGCATCGTCGCCCGTTAAGTGTACATGTTCTGTTTTCCTGACTGCTGTTGTCTAGAGTAATGGAATTTACCTAGTAGATGAGTCACCATCGTGTTCTGCCTCATCGTGTTGCATCGATTTATCCGTTTCCTTTTCCTGCCACTCATTATTTTGTCGCTCAGTTTGGCTTTCGTCTACTTCTATTGGAGAGTTATTTTATTACCTTGATGTCTGTTTTGTACATTGCTTTGTCTGTTGCCTCTCTTTTTGCCGTCCATCTCACATTAGAAACGTTTCCTCTCGGTTTAGAATTTTATCATTCTGTTATTTCAGATGGAGGGCAATACCGTGTTTTGCGCCAATCAGAAAGAACAAATAATGGGAACCCCATTATTCTGTGATACGTACGACGCTCAGGCGAAGGCATATTGTAAAAGGCTGCGCGTTGTATGCGAGCATTTTAGAGAACCGAAATTACCTCCGGACAGTGTTTGTGGATTCCCTTTGGTTCGTGATGTTTTCATAGAAACGGGAGAATATTGTTGCGTACCCCGGAACAAGTGCACCTCTCATCTTGGTTGGGAGCGACTCAGACGAGCAAGAATCGATATTGAACGCTACAGATGTGTAAGTTCTACGATCACGGAATCATGTATATCGGACTGTGAGTTCACATGGCACGCCATCGAATGACGTTCGTAAAATTGTCTCTCGTTATTTGTCACTTCAGTAAATGCCCTCAAACTCAGTAGCAGAGAGCAGACTGGTGAGCCGCGCCGATGCATCACTTATGTACCGACGACTAGCTGCGACATGAAAAGTATTCCGGATATTACTAGCGATGATTCGAGAAGTAGGGATGAATAGACTGGAGTCCTCCAGTGAGCGAACAGTAGATGTGTAAAAGCGGAACTGCGCCGTGTAGGAAAACTAAAATCACCTTTCCAAATAGTGACATACTGATACTCTACGCAGATGTTTCACAGTTCACTACGGCTTCGGCCGCAAAAAGTTGTTCATCAACAGGTGGTATGCGACGCCACTCCATTACAACGTTTAAAGTTTGATCCTACCAGGTTACAATATTGTCTCAACATTTGGGGCCTCATAGCGTGAGGGCTGAGGTCACCGTGACAATCAAAACACGCTAGCATGATTTAATTTGTTCCTTCCACTTTAAAAAAATTGTATATTTCTCAAGAAATAGAGATGCAGCTCTCTTAATGTGGTCTCATCATGATACACATGCTTGAGCCAAACATGACTCAGATTAAACGAACGAAAGGCTTCGAAAAGCTAGTATAAGTAGTATGCGGCAGTCGCAATTGGTGAAGTGCAGATAAATGCCGGTAGTCACGAAAGTTTGTCATTATGTACTGTCGCTCGGTACGTTTAGTGGTCATTGCTGGCGTCCCTTTTCCTAACGACTGTCATAATCAACGAAAGCAGAAACAGTTATTCATGTTTTCGCTTCTGCTGCTAGAATATTCCTGTAGAAATTGTTTTCAGTGAACGAAAAGTCATGAAGGTGAACATCAATTTGATCAAAAGAGATTATCACACCTGTTGATAATATGCACTGAAACTGACCCTAGTAGCATGATCGATAAAAACAGTGACAAGAAGGTTCCTTGTGGCTAAATATGAGATGCAATTTATTAAAAATATCTAATGTTTGCACTCATATGCACAACAACACAGGGAGGACGCATATCACACAGTCTAAAAAGGTTCGTATGTTCAGAAACATGCGTTTAGGGACTAACAGGCGGGGATATACAGTTATCCATGCTTTCGTTATTTGTTCATAGATCCGTGACCTGGAAAGAGCTGAAGACGATTGAAAATGACATAGAATTGAGGTACAAGAGAAAATGAACATTTTGGAACAGATAATTGTAGGCTAATAGAAAAACGACAAAAAACATGAAGGGTGCGATACCCCAGTCTACTACTACCTTGTCCATAAAACCGACCCTTCGCGCAAATACACACTCGCACTGCTGTTTATTCCATCTGAGTCGCGCATCCAACGGGCGGCGCTGGTGAAAACGCGTTGTGCTGTCATCGGAATTTAATAACTATAAAACGATCTCTCTTTACTGTGTACTTCGTGTTGCGACGCCTGAGCGTTCAAATAGTTCGCAGTTAGCCTTTCCTGTTTGGGTAAGCTTGACGAAGTCCGGTCTTTGGTGTCGCACGATCCAGTCATATTTTTTTGTGTTCCAACCACCTCATCGACTTCCGATTATGTAATTGTTTGCTTGGGGCTTGAACCTGACGTTGGTTGTCAACCGCATCGCAACGACACTGGACCTTAAAATGGGGCGATGGTTTGCGTACGTGACCCATTGCGCTACGGCAGATGGCACTTTCCAAGTGCCTTCCGAGCCACTCACACCACACAGACAAATGGTTAGGTGTCAGGGAGAGGTCGATGGTCCGTTTTCTTTAAAATCTAGCCAAGGGAGACAACACTGTACGGGTTTCAAGCTCACAGATCGATTGGCCTAGAGCACGACCACCACGCATTCTCTGACGGTGGGAGGGCACCTACGGGAGCTCAATGATTTGCTACCACCCACCTCAAGTCAGACAGCCCCTGTTCAAATTGTTGTCGAATATGCCAACTACTACCTGCGGCTGGACGTGGTCGCAAGTGCGTGAGAGGGATAGAGGCAACAGCATTACGCCGGTATGCAGTACCGCTGCTTTGCTGCTGCGCAACCACTACCAGTCGCACATGCGCTAAGGATACTATAAGGGTCGCTCGGCCCCTATTCAGGCTCGTACCCGCGTCGTCGGATTACGAGGAAAGCATGTGATCCTCAAGGCTACGCAGGACCGTAAGATAACACGGCTTTAAATTTTCAAACTCTATGTCACAGGCCTCAAGTGGATCCCAATAGGTCTCTGCAATCATACTCCCGAGCTAGACTTGCTTCCCATTGCCTTGTTGGTCAGACTGCTAATCCAAAAGGCATTGGGTAGAGTCCCTCAAACCAACATCCATATCCCCGACTACCTTGTGGTTCAGACTGTTGAGTCAGAGGCTAGAGATTGGCACCTCGGACAAAACCCTCTCTCAGAATGGGCACCCGGAAAGCATCATCTGCCCTCTTGACCACACGGAAAATTCTCCCTCCTCTCACTTTTCTCTCTCATTTTAGCTCTTCTTCTCCGTCTATTGAGCAAGAAGCTGCCGCTGACTTCGCTGCTACTGCCATCGATACTCGTAACTCTTCCATCAAACCACGAGTCTCATTTCACACTGGTTCTTTTAACGTCCGCACTTTAGGTCAGATTGGTCAACAGGCAGCACTGACTCTCACTCTTCACTCTCTCAGTATTGGTGTGTGTTGTCTCAGAAACACGCACACAAGATAACAGAGTTGTGACGAATCTTCGACTCCCTGGTTCTGAATCTGACGACAATGACTACACTCTTCGTGTCTCTGATGATACCGAGTCAATGCCTCAAGGTATTTACGGTCTTGATATCTCCCACAGCAGACATGCTGAAGGCAATCTACTCTATTCTTTATCGGTGAACAGCCGCATGTGTAGGGTTCGACTTCGAACCTCTATTGGAGTTAATAAGCACCGTATGAAGACAGGGTGCCTTTTCATTGTCTCCGTTTATGCTCCTACTGACTGCAGTTCGGAGGGTACGAAAGATGATTTCTACTGCCATCTTTCATCTCTTCTCCACATGGCGAAGAATACTGACATCATGGTTGTTGTTGGTGACTTGAGTGCCCAAGTGGATCCTCTTTCAGACTCTGAACAGCATCTGGGATGCCGATTCGGAGTCGATTCCTGCAACGGTTCGCCGAACAACCTCCCCGTGGTGCGAGCTGGGTGGTTCGGGTAAATCCCGTTCCAGCAAATGGTTCGGCGGCAGTGTTCCAGGATGTGGTGGGATTTCGCCTGGCAAGTGTTCTTCCTATAAAAAACCACAGATATCCGTTTAACAACACTGTGACGTGGCGGATGTGACTCGCCACTAAATAAAGTCACCGCGGACATTTTTTGGACATTTTTCACCTACACTCCGCCCCAAATCCCAGGCATTTTCCTTGCATTGATCCTCTGTTGGATTCTCGCTCTGGGCCGCCCTAACCCTGCTTCCCTCACCATGGGAGAATACTGGACTTACAGCGTTATGCTTGCGTCTCCCACTTCGGCTTGTTGAGCCCACTGTGATCCTCCCTGGATCCACATATCCAAATGTCCACCTCCCACCTGCGGAGAGTCAACAGCCGGAATTACTCCAACTTCCTCATAGTATCAGTCTAACAAACATATCTTTAGTGCTCCAAAGGATTTTAGTCCCATGATCCACCGGTGCCAAGCCTTTCGATTTTACCAGACAAATCAGCCTCAGGCTTAAGCGACGTTATTTCTTTTTCTACTATTAACTCACACAATTGCTTTACTTCACAGGTAAACATGTTCGCTTCCGTGTCCGATATATATCTGGATTCCTTTACTAAACCATCGGATTCCACCGGGTCACCTGCAAGCGGCACGAATATGCTACTCGTTAAAACATTTAAAGGTTTGGTTTCAATGCAGTGAGATTATACGAAGCTACCATATCTGTGATACTGTACGGGTTGTCGCGCAGCAAGCAGGGAACCATCGGGTTGATTCAAAACCCGCAAGCCGATCGCTTCATTTTACACCTCCGGATCGGGATAATAACAACTATTCGTTGGCTGAACAAACTTAATTGCGACAGCTACAAATTCTGCATCAGTTGATTGTTCGGACTAATTACTCCCAGTCCGCGGAGCAGATAACTTCAATCCGGTATCGCTTGAAGTTGGGGATATGGATGCTCAGATTTCTCATCAGCGGATTTACCGGTGCATGTCTTCATGTCTACCTTGAGGTACGGTAATGAGTTGGCAACGAAAGAGGTTCGTTCCACGTCGTTGAACGATGCGTTGTGGCACTGGGCTGTATCCGAAGCCGCTACCGATGTAACAGCCTCAAAATCAGGCAATATATCGGCGAGCAAAGGGTCTTGGACACCATCATTACCCGATACAACATCAGTACACTCGATGGTGTCTGAAGGCTCTATGATTGCCACCGCCATTACGTTACTTATCGCAATAAGTTCTGACTCCTGATGGCCATAGTCAGGTTCTAAGAAAGAAGTGATATATGATGAATCAACAGGAGCCACGGATTCGGGCTGAGAGAAATCGGTGGTAGACGCCTACTTATTACCCAGCTTTACCACCTTTACCTAACTTTACCAGCTTTAGCCATTTTAACATCGAGTACCGCCTGTTCCACCTTAAGTTATGCCATCCTTAGGTCGAAAACAGCGCGCCGTAAACCCCGGCTACGCCTACTCTTTGTACTAGTGTGCGTCGCAGAGTAAGAAACCATAGCATAAACAGTTGGGAAAAGTTTGACTTGCTTAGGTTCCTTCTCTGCTCCGACAATGTTCTCGAATGCTTTCTTTCCAATAGACATAGTTCAAATAGGCAAGCGATTATGTTCGGTAAGCACGACAATCCAAAAACGATGGGTGGACTCGGAAGATAGACTGAGAAGTACGGGGCACCTTTCTCCAAACTAAGCTTGCACACCTAATTCATTGCAACAAG